GGAGGAGGAGCATCATAATTGCGAGATATACCTACATTGAAGAGATACATTGTCACTTCTGCGGATTACGATGAAATGTCCCACAGTTTGTATATTGGCTCTACTACATTAAAAGACAAGGAGCGTATGTGTGTGAAAGAGAGAGATAGAGAGTGAGAGGGGAGGAGGAGAAAAAAACAGTATATGTAATTGCTACTATTTAAATATCAAATTAGCTGCATAATATTTTTTTTTGTTTTGTTTTAATACTCAATGCAATTTCAATATTTCGATAAGCTGTATTCGATTAAAGTTGGACAATATAGGCAGAGAACAATGGAGACCGCTGCCCGGTTGCCGTACTTTTGATTGATTTTCAGTTTCAATACATTTTTCATTTTTGTCTTTTGACAGTCAATTCAGTGAAGCCGGTTAATCTGTTAAACCGCCAGTCTCGTTGGTCAGAATATAAACATTTTCTGTGCATTCATATTTATAACAGTATTATTTAAGTTTTCAATAGTAAAAATTGTTACCTATGTGGACAATATAGGCAGAGAACAAAGGAGACCGCTGCCCAGTTGCCGTATTTTTGATTGATTTTCAGTTTCATTACATTATTAATTTTTGTCTTTTGGCAGTCAATTCAGTGAAGCCGGTTAATCTGTTAAACTGGCAGTCTCGTTGGTGAGAATATAAACATTTTCTGTGCATTCATATTTACAACAGTATTATTTGAGTTTTCAATAGTAAAAATAGTTATTTATGTTTTACCTATACATATAAAATGTTTTGTCCTGAATGACTAACTGACGGATCAATGCACAGCCTAAACCGCTGATCGTAGAGACCTGAAACTTGGAGGGTGTGTTCTTTGTATGACGTAGGCATCTGAAAAGAAAGGATTTTCCGATTCTAGGCCTAAGGGAGTGAAAAACGGGGGCAAAGTTTGTATGGGGCAACATGATTCCTTGGCCCAATCTACTTCACATTTTGCATAAACATTTTTTAACAGAATTGATGAAAATCGTGTTTCGTATTTTATTGAAAATGATCGCCTAAACGGGGTTGAAAATGGTAAAGTTATTTTTGGGATGATTTGCATCGAAGTTGATATCAATGCTCCTTAGGACTTTTGATTTAAATTACACTTTATTTTGATACATGTTTGAAAACACAAAACGTTGAACTCGCATAAAAGCTTGGTGCAATGCACTACTCTTTAAAACTGTAATGTCAAATATGAAAGAATATTTGAATCAGATTAGAATTCGAAATTTCAATTTTATTTGTTCTTTCTTTCGAAATTTTCTTGGAAAGATAGATTACCTACTTAGCGTTTTTCGCTGTTTAGCCATTTTTGAGTTGACATTTTTGCGAAAATCGAGACGGAAAGTTTGAGTTATATTAGGAACAATCAAGCGCAACTTAGTGCGGATAGTTATATACACTTACAAGATGCGACAAGGAGACAGGATATTGATGCAGATCAGCTGGGTTAAAAGGTTATGCTGCCTTCTTCGTTCACTTGGGGGCCAGCCTGTATTCATGAGCGGACATAAGAAGCCATGACGTATATGTGCCACTACGGCCGTTCCGATCTTTTTATAATATTTACTTGCAATCTTTGGCGGGATGAAGTTCAACCTCAAAGTTAAGAAAATAATGGCACTTCTAGCCAAAGGAAAAATATTTGGAGAGGTACGTTGTTTCATGTTCTCTACCTAATGGCCTTCGCTATGTCCAAATTAACGGCCAACGCCTCCGCCTTGGACTCTACTGCCTCCGCCCATTTATGAGTTAGGTAACCCAGGAGATCAACAGCCGAGCGACATGACATAAACCGTACTGGCGGTCACTAATCAGCTGGTGATTCTAAAGGTACTGCGTGAGCTGGCTGTTAATAATCGATTCCATTATTTTAGAGAACAAGTAGGATATGGCAATAGGCCTATAGTTGGACAGATCAGAGCAGTTATCTTTTTTAGGGATCGGGTGCACGAAGGCTGTCCTTCATGATTTCGGGACTACACCTAGGGAGTAGGAGTACCGCAAAAGACGCGTTAAAACCGGTACCAACTCCGAAGCACACGTCTTCAGCACAATAGGAGGGACGCCATCAGGCCCACATGTTGAAATCTAGGGAGCACATTCTGCATTGAGCACTCACACCGCGGGGTGGTCGGCGGTGTGTTCCCCCGTCATCAAGAGTCGAGTTGGACGCAAAGAGAGAGCCCAGCAGATAGGCTTTGTCCTTAGCGGCATGGGCCAGTGAGCCGTCCTCCCTGTGCAGGGAGAGATGGGTTATTTGAGTAGTTAGTAGGCAGTTTGGAGGATTTTAGGTTTTCCACACATGAAAGGTTTCTCGCAGTCATACATGTAGCTGTCCATCTTGAAAATGGCCAACGAGTCTATTTAATTCCTACATTCTAACCGACGAAGTTAATAGGCTACCAAAAACGACGCTATACGCGGAAGTGCCTTCATATTTTATATGGAAAAAGATTATACGGCATAATGAAAGGACGCTATAGGTAGAGTGTACATGGTTCACCCAAATAACACAGAGTTTTACCATCTTCGCTTACGTCTACACAAGGTTAAGGGTCGATCATCCTTCAATGACTTGAAGACTGTCAACGGTGTCCTCCAACTACAAAATTTGTCTTGCTAGAAATTAATACAGAAACATTGGGCCCTAGAGGAAGCAGTCTTACGAGAGTCGCGATTTAAAATGAGGGTAATTTTTCTATAATGCTGGCATTCTGTCAGATTACAGTCAAAAAACTGAGCCTTACTAAAAATATGAGAGCACATCTTAGGGAAGATGTTACTGCCGGACAGTTCTCAGACATGTTGCTTAAAATAAGAAATGGTGATTTCCCAGAACTAGATAATAATATATTTCTCCCTACAGAGTTAGGTATAATTGTTTCCACTTTAGAAGAGCTTAATAATATTCACGACAAACCTGCAGAATGCTTATGCGAGCGTGCCCAGTATCAAAGAAATATGACACAAATAATTATTTTAAAAAGGATTCTTCTGTCATCCAGAGTATAGAGAAAAAATGCTTTTAATTCTCCTGCTGGTTCATAAATTGCACTTCATCTTTTTACTTCCAATATTTTAAGTATTTTTGCGTACCTGAATATTTTATTCTTTATTTCGTTTTAAATGTCAATATGCACTGAATTCATGGCAGGAATTTACTATAAATCGTCATCTTGGACAAACGAAAGGGATTATTTTGAATTTAGTTAACTATTAGATAACTTTTTGCAACAAAATTGAAATAGAGAAGGGCCAGAATGTGACAACCTCTTAGGATAATACCTCAAGGCTGTTTTTGTTTTTCAACCTAGATCATAAGACTACAACGAGTTGTTCCACCTCTTCAGAGTTAATCTTATAATTCATAATTCTGCCACCTCAAACTAGTCATTGATGTAAATCGTTCGGAATTGAGCTGTGTTGTGATTTTTTCAGAATGAAATGACAAACAAACTTACAGTCCACCTGATTGTAAGTGGCTACAGCAGTCAATGGGTACCTACAGTCAACTTTTCCTAATGAGGGTATTTCTGACACTGTATCCACGTCTTCTTCCGATTTTATCACGTTAAGTCCAAAAAAGGAATTCCAGTCCAGAATCGGGAAAAGACGCCTTTTTTCGTTCATGGATTACTTACGAAAAGATGATAAAAATGATCATAATTACACTTCTGGCAAGTTTACATTAACAGATTATAGAAATCTTTTTGACGTTCACGAGAGCTTTAAGTAAGCCTAAATCGAATACAAAGTTTTCGTTATAAAGTGTCAAAGTCAAAACTTTGACACTTTATAACGCTCAAAGGACACAATTTATTTTTGTATGGAGAAATGACCAATCACAAATTGTGGCGTAACTTAATGAAATGTCGATTTATTCCTTATAATCTCTAGATTACACTGGTTATATTAGTTTTACTATATCCAACGGGAATACTGAGAAATTAAATCAATCAAACGGTAATTTCACTATAACATAAAATCTTATATGTGCGACTGTCTAGTAGTTTTTATCGATACTCTATGTTATAATAGTGCACTGTTAATAATAAAATGTATAAAAAAGTTGTAGGTTCTTCAAAATCTTAAGAACTATTTGTTGGATTCTCCGGAACTAATAAAAGAATATTTTTAGTAGTTCAGGAAAAAAGTTCACGAATAAACAGACGGCGGTGATTTATATGTAGGTATTGATGCTTAATTATATTATTTATCACCTTTATAATTATATTATTTATAACCGAAATGGTTAGATTATCATAAAATGTTTTGCCAATTTACTATAGTAAATTGGTATCTTTTTTATGTGTTAAAATTTCTAGTGGGCCCAAAAAAGATTGCCACCTATGTTTAGTTGATTTAGGAAAATAAAAATTATTTTTAATTCACAGTAGTTTTACAGTACAAATCTCTTATTTCCGTTCTCTCTATCTCTTATTATCTTTCTTTTATGTTTTAAATAAATAGATTGACTTGGCAATCGCACTAAGCAATCGAATTTAATATAATATGTATTACTTGTGATATACATTGTGTTTTCATGCGATGGCCCAAGCCTTGTCACTCGAGTTCCCTAACGGTTGTTATTTTTTAGAGCTATATGGCCAGCAAATTGCCTCTTCAGCTAACTAATCTGTTGATGGAAGAGCAAATATAATCAATATTGAAAAATCATACGTGACTATTTAAAATAAAAATGTGGGATTTTTTATTTTAAGCAATATGCGTCAGCTGGTAATATTCCGATGGTAATGGTCCATTAGGCTGGACATGGTCGTCTCCTGATATCTGCCTTGGCAGGTGGTTTAATGATCACAATAACCAGACGTCTCGCACTTATGACATTGCTCACCTAGCGAGGATGTGGATTTTTATGCCTGGCGTAAAACAAAATGGTTATAGCATTTTTTATTGAAAGCCGTAAGATCATTCAGGCGTGTCAATATTCAATTCATAATAATTTATTTCTAAGTTAACAGCACCATATTTGATGTTGTTTTCGTACATACCTTCTTACTGCTCTTGAAAACGTTGCACTTGAAGACATTCGTAGCGCCATCCCTTGCAATATAAGAGAATATCTTAAGATCAGAGCTGTCATGGGAGACGTAGAAGATGCGGTATATTGGATGATGCATCAGTTCTAAGGTTTCAGTGCTACAGTTACTCTTGTTGCTACGGCCGAAGAGTTTCGATCCAGATTTCTTCTGCAACAAGGAATATAAATATTCAAACATACGTATAGAAACTAAAAATACGATACTTGTAAAATATATATTAAAAAAATCTATTTGAAGACAGTGAAAAACAATTATGAGACGGATGTTATGTTCGAATCACAAACAATCCAATATTTCGTGTGAAACAAAAATATTTATTATCAGGTCCGACTTTGCTGTGTTCTTTTTTTATATAAAATTGAAGTGACTAACGATCTTTTAGTCCACCTGAGATTGTAAGTAGTCACTACAGGCCATGTACTTCTGCAGCCCACTTAAAATCTCTGAGGGCTAGTCTACTGTTGATTTAATCACGTAAGCCCGAAGTAGTAGTCGGCTTGTCGGTTGCTCATAACCGCGTAGAATTTTCTACAATATTTTTCTTATATAATAATGGTGACAAACGTGCACACATTCACCTGACGGCAAGTGAATGCTGCGGCCTATTGACATCTACATTTATCCTCGATTAAGAATCAAAACGCAGATGTGTTGTCACCCCTGAGGACTAAGATCGAGTGTCTAGTTTCAAGTAAAACAGGGTCTCCGAATCTCTACACTCACTATACGAAAGACAGCAGTATTAAGCTGCTATTTTGCGTTGGTATTCTGTGTGTCCATCCCCGGTCTAGCAGACCCATTCACACTACAACCTTAATATAGCTGCTGCGTGGCTCTACCACGTATAAAAATATTCGAATGAAAAAATTAATTAATATTCGAAACTTGTGAATGTGGCCGATATCGACCTGAAAAGCATCGTCATATCTTCGATAATCCCCGGGAGCAGATTAAATTAACTAAAGGAAACATCAGAAAAGATAACCGAAGGAAGATGGTAAATGAAACCGTTCACAGTAGAGTAAGACCTCCAATTATTTATAGCTATAATGTAGTACAAAATCTGAATATTAACCTCACGCGCAAATTGTAACCATCACCATCCTGAGTACCTACATAAATTGACTCCCTGCATATTACGCCATGTCGTCACTCAGATCCTTCGAGTACAAGTACCTGGTACTCGTACTTCTTATTACGGCCATCTATTAACCATCAGATGTCTTTACCAGGCATGTGGCCAGCCCATTACCTCTCCAGCTAACGGATCAGCGTTGGGCAATGTTAGCTTCGTTTATCTGCATAGAAATTGGTTATGGAAGTAATTTTGAAATTTGACAGGCAGGTCAGTGCTAAAAAGCCTTTTTTATTTGTACTGATATCAGCATTCTACCCGTCTGGCTCGGCCATTGCGGCATATGTTTTAATTTGGACGAAGCTTATATTCAGGAGTATGCCGACAAGTAACGAAAAATACGTGTTATGCTTGTTTCCCGATTTTTGTAAATTACGAGTACTTGTGGAATTCAGAATTTTGCAATTAATATCATATATTATTTACAAAATTCTGAATATCACAATCAATTTACGAATATCTAAAAATATAATTATCGCTCAGATGGTTAGCACTCGTAAATTTCACAGTACGCGAGCAAGCCGAGTTCAATCCCCGCCGGCACCGATGATGTTAATTGCAATTTTGAGTGCTCTTTTACCACGTACTTGGCTGTGAAGGAAAGCATCGTGAGGAAACCGGTATGTCTGAGAAATAAGAAAAAATATTTCGAAGAGATGTGAAGTTGGCACACACGCATTGATGCAGCGCGGCGGACACTTCCTTGCGCCTAAAACTCTCTCAGAAGTGAGGGGAGGCCTGTGCCCAGCAGTGGGACGTACGTAGGCTGTAACTTTAACTTTTTAATCTAATGCATTTAATAGATCGTGCTAATAATACCGGTGATTAATTAAAATTTCAGAACTCTGATAAATGATATAAGTTAGTGAAATTTATCAACACAATTACTTTGTAATCTTTGAAAATGTTCAATTTTGACTTTTTTGTAATGATTCTTATGAGCTTTAAGCCTGGTGCATGCTATACTAGTTGTAATGAATGAAAGTTTGTAAATTACTGGTGATAAGCATGCTCAACAAATGGTACGCTCTGCTTTCTGAAATAGTTCTTCAGGTAAGAAATAAGAACGAGTCCATTATGCTGTTGCAATATACATAGGCGGTATTTTTTTACTGTTGCAAGCCAGTGTTTGACTACTATTCCACCTTATGGTAAGTGGTGATGCAGTCGAAATCTTGTCTTGTTATCATAAATGGCAATCATTATGTTCATAAAATATTTTTAGTTCTTAAGCATGCAAGTTTCCACATTGTATTTCTTTCCCAGCCGAGCCAAGTGCAAATCACACTAAGCTAACGCGGTCGTTGAAGTGTATGGAAGACGTCAAACCAAGTTTGTTTCAAATGCGTTTGTCCGACAATCTTAGTTTGACTTTCGACACTACTTCCGACAGCATAAGCTCGACACAATTGTGTTAATAGTTTGAATTTAAAATGTTTAATTTCAGCGCAATGTTAGTGTCTAGTTTCGTACTTGAATTCTCAATTTAAGTTTAATAGAGTAAGGATGTTCCGCAAAATTTCAAATATCATCCTAAATCTATTTGTATTGAAATTAAAGAACATGAAGGAGGCAGAACGTAACGTAAAGTAATGAAAATCGAAGTTTCTTTTTCTTTTCCCAAGGATGAAAATACTTCTTAGCAGTTGTTTATATATTATGAAAGCAATAGGCAACATGAACAAAAGATATTGGATGCGATATATTGTATACAAAATAACTTACAATTAGTGTGGGTTCGCTTGGAGCTTAATTACAAGACATCGCTTGGGAATTTCGATACAGTCTACAAGAACTATGAAAGTGGAAATATTGATAGCCACCGGCGAGGGCATATCGCAAAAGTTCGTATTTAACGTCATTGTTTGTTATAACATAATAGCGACTTCTCTTGACGGTTAAAACTTGTTTTAGTATTGCTTCAACAAAATAGATAATAAGAATCGATCTACCTAGGATTCATTTTTAGAAAATGTCGTTTTATCCGTGTTTTCAGGCAATAAAAAACTGCTACAATATCGTTAGAATAGGAAGGTAAATTTTGACAGTTTATTAATGATCATAAATAGCGTAATTGGGTTAGCGGTAGTTGGTTGGGCGGTCACAAAATCGCAATACCCTTGTTCGAGTCCTATCGACAGACCGACTTTTATTCATTTTTTTTAAGATTTTCTCAAAAAAGAAGTTTTTTGAGAAAATCTATTATTTCGAGCCCTTTTTTAGTATTTTTTTAAAACCACAAATTTAAATTAAACTAATTGCACTCATGATTTTTATTCAAATAACCAGTTCAGTTTTTCTATTATGTCGCTAAGATCAATAAATATTATTCGTATTTCATCAGTATTTAATTTGTATCTAAATATAATTTCCAAAACACACGAATTAAAAAAAACCGAGCGAAAAATACCGAGCAAAACTCGATCAACCAGGTACTAACTTTTAATTTGCCAAATTTCATTAACAGCCCTTCTCACAGTGGGTAACAGGGTGTATCTGCAGTTAACTATTCAAATCAAAGTCAGGTCATTAAAGCTTTGGAGACCTAAGGCCTGTTAATTAACAGCAGTTTAACAAATAAGTCATAGTTGAAATATTAAAATTGAGATGTTAATAGTTTAGTAAATTCACAATGAATTTAAAACTTATTTTTACGATCTTGTATAATAAAATCGAGAGATTTTTAAACAATAATGGGATGAGTAATGATGAACACATCTATATATAAATAATTTTATTTATTTGTATAGATTATTGAAGTGTTTACACATTTTTCATTTTATGTTACTCGCTTAGCACTATATGTGGGATGTGGGAGGGAGGAGGGGTTAGCCTTGGTGGCTTCTTTCCAACACTCAATACATATTCCTGCCCCCTAAACAGTTAGCAAATGTTTACAAAATGCTTGGGCTGCTAATGCTTCCAGTAGTCAGTCAGAATCGGTAACACTCTTTTACGTTTCAATAATTGTTTTTATACAACTAGTATTGTATGAAACAATTATTGTTTACAATAACATAATAACTTATCATCATTTCACTCAGAGGCCAGAGAAAAATGATATTAATTAAATAATTTTATGAGATTATAACAGCTGTCAAATAAGATCTGCACACTTATTTTTCTTTCCACACCAATAGTTTTTTTTAATAGGATACAAACGAGCACATAATCCACCTGATGGTAGTAAGTAGTTGCTGCGGCCCATAGACATCTACATCTATCCTCCGTTACGAATCAAAATGCAGATGCGGTTGATCGGTCGGCAAAAACATTGTGAATTTAATCACACACAGAAAACCGCGCCTATGTGTAAGTTTTGTCCAATTCACATTTAATTTAGGAAAATTAAAAAAGAGCCTTATTTACTCGTGTTCTCAAAAACTGCAATAACGGCACGTTATCATTATTTATAAGTAAGTTTGAACCTAAGTTACAAAATAGCCCTGTATATCTGCTTACAAGAAACAATCAAGTGTTTACAAGACGTTAGGGCTTCTAGGATCCCGTCAGAGCTTACATAAGATTTTTATATATTTTACTTTCCAAGCTACAATCAAATGTTGTACTCCGAACTTGCTTAGGACTCAATTAGTTTTGACACTAGTATCTTATAACAAAAATTTACCGCTTAGCTAGCAGCAGTGTAACTGGCAACTGGAACAGATCAGTGGGTTTACGGGTTTGAGCGGAAATGGACCTATAAATTTATAGCTTGTAAGTAACTACATCTTAGGCCGAATTTCACATTGTAATATCAGTTTAGATCATAAAATGTAACACGTATTTTACAGATAAACGGTGTGTACACTAACGCGTGTTTAAACTATTTAGTAGTGATGCAACGGAAGTGTCATATTGGAAGCAGAAACGGGAACAGGTGTTAAAAATCGCGACATTAAGCGACGTTAAGCGACAGTAGCCTAATGGCAGGCAGCGGACCGCGAACTCAAAAAGGTCATGGGTTCGAATCCACCATTCGACTACTGGCGTGAACCACTCGTAACACAAG